TGCTGTTTTTGACCTATGAAAAGCTAAACACAACAGTATTGGTGTGCAAACTGAGTAAATACAAATGTACATGTGATCAAGTTTTAACGAATCAAAAATCCTTAAAAATATTCAATTAATAATATAAGTGAATAACATTTTATCGATTACATATTAATAAAAGGATACCTTTTTATTTTCTTAATTTTTGGAAAGCAACATCTATCCCAAAATTAATGGATGCCCGTTCAGACCTCAAAAAAATATAATTTTGAATTTTATTACGGAATAAGATTAAATAATAAAAAAGAGTTATTTAGACAAAGTTTTCTAATTTGATCAAGGATTAAAATTAGTATCACATATTTATCAATTCATGATCACGAATATATGAGAATACGTCATCCCACATTTTTTAATTATTTACCACGGATTTAATCGATGATTTTAGATAAAACAGATTCTTTACCACGAATTTAATCCTAGATAACGATTTTGTAATTCGGTGTAACAAATTATACAATTCGTGAAAATAATTCCAGTCCATGATCAACATTTTTTTTTATTCGTGATTATTTGTTCTTCATATTTGCTATCATAAATTCAAACTATATCTATTGGAGGCCCAAAATGGGCTTCCATAAATCCCTTCGACATCAATATGAAGCGCTGGATAACATATCAATTTTATAAAAATATGTACTTTTTTTGAAAATGTTAAAATTATATGATCACGACTTTCTAATATTCAAATTCCTGTTGCATTTGACAAATTTTAGATTTTGACCTTTTGAGTGAAATAAATTTAACGTGAGGGTACCCAAATTGCACCTATTTTGAGTTTTTTTTTCACCTTAGTTTATTTTTGATCCAGACAAAAGTTTCCATTCTGTGTTTATTTTGTAGATGTATCATTATTTAATATATGGTTCCACCAATTCAATTTTGAATCCATATTGAATCATAGAAAAATGGGTTTGAACCGACCTCCAAACGATCCGTGATTCTGTAATGAGGAGGACCCAAATTGCATCCATGCTTAAATTAATATCCTTAAAAGTTGAATAACAGATATTTTGTTTTATGTCTTCAAATATTTAGAACATTTTTACATTAGTCTATGCTTACTATTCATTTTTTATGAAATGAATGCTTGTTACATATTTTATTTGCTAATTTTCAAAAGATGACTTTTTGTGGACGTCGCATGGCGACGTTTCCGTACATTTTACTTTTCCCAGTGAACACTTCATCTGTTGATATATACTGTGAACGTTTTGTGTATATTTAAATATATTTACCTATTTTGAAAGACATGCATAGTGTCAAATCATAAAAATACAAATTGTTTAGTCTCTAGGAAAACTTGTAAGATTTCCGCTGCTTTTTTGATATATAGGTGCAATTTGGATACTCGGTGCAATTTGGGTACCGCGACGTTAGAGGAAATAAGCCATACGTCTTTGTTGAATGCTACTGTGAATGTGATATAAATGTACCATGAACAATTACGAGCTTATATTTTAGCTTGCAGTTCTTCAAAAATAATATATGAAAAAAGAAAGAATAAAAAATTACTGAAACCAGTCCTCAAATAAAGACATTAAGCCGGATATTGTAAATTGTTAATTTGTTATGTACAATATTGCATTTCATTTTGCCCTGAAACGGACAGTCAAGATGCAAATACTTTATCCTGTTGTCTGGTCTGGTTTTGGCGTCTACAGGTAACCAGTAATACGATAAACTGGACGATATTCAGGACGAAAAGAACAGAAAACATACCACCAAACAGCAACTTTGTATTTTCATCTAGAAAAAGAAAGAACAATTATTTTCCAAAAATTAAATTGCAACGTTCGTCTTTACCAAGTCTACATGCTTGCAGCATGAAAAAATTTGATCAAAAACATCTTGAGAAGTAATAAAACATTGAATCAAGTTATTTGTCATCATCACAGGACTCAATTCGAACATACTTATAACTTAAAGTAAGCCAACAATACACCTTATCGCTATTTGTCCGCCATTACTGGACATCACAAAGGTTCCCGTAAAATGTTGACGTCATAATAGAAAACATCTAACGCCACAATCGAAAAGTGATTGTTGTATTACGTCAATAGTTCAAGAGGCGCAGATTTCCAAATAGTGATAGGGTCTATTTTAGAGGTAACTGTATTGTATTTGAAGCTTTGCGGACGTCCATCGGTAGTTTTACTGTCGCAAATTTAGTTTACCTGGCGACGCGCAAAGCTTCAAATACAATACAGTTATCTCTATTCTAATGCAAAATAAACAAATCATTCAATTTTAGTCATCATCCTAGTGTAAATTTTCATTTAACAAAAATTCGGCGAAATGATGTTATCTTTTTTAGATCCTAAACTAGGTGACGTCATAGGTATGCTTCCGGCATCAAACGTCAACGCCGGGCGTTTTCTGGCATCTTGTCCGCTTCAGAATGTAATAAAATTTGATAAAAAGAAGATTTATAGGTGCAAAATGTGAGTTTTTTGGCTTATTTTTGGAGAAATTACATGTCAATACATTCCGGAATTCAAAATGTGTGTTTTCTTACTTACAGACAGGGAGATAGAGAATTTTACGCTTATTGTCATCCAATCAGAACCATTGATACAAAATAATTGCATTATAATTGTATATAATGTACATGAATTCATTTCTTCAGGGTTTGTCTTCGTCTGATTTTGTCATGGACGAGTTGAACACTTTGTGCAGTTTGTTGTAATGTCCAGTATTTTTTGTAATGTTTGCCTATTTTTGTGTTTATGTCAGATATAAAGGAACTGTTTAAAGTACTACTGGGTTTAACTTGCAACGTCCATACCAGTACAGGTAGGAACGTCGTATTATCGGTATATTAAACGTCATTGGTGGGTCCTGAAAGTGATTCCGGGGTTAAAACACTTCTCTTTATTTGTTTTTTTTCCTTTATAATTACACAAAACTCGACAAAATGTGCAGGAATCCTCGGGGGTCCACTTCAATACTTAATTGATAGGGGGTGCCGCTGGGGTTCTGTTACCCCAATTTTTTCATATAATTTAGATTTTAAAAATGTATACCTTTTCATATATTGCGGAGGTAAAAATGTTACCTTTTCCCATATTCTTTGGGTTTCATGTGGTGTGTAATTAATGTATGAGTGGAATACCATGACAAACGAGACGATTTTAATTTTAAAATTATAAATTTCCCCCACCTTAGTAGCAATATACCAACTTCACCTGCATATGGGATATACATTTCCCAACTTATTCGATATTCAAGAGCTTGCAGCTCCTACTCAGACTTTGTAAAACGTCACCAGTGTCTGAGCAGAAAGTTGATGAACCAGGGGTATGTCAAAGAACGTCTCGTCCTTTTTCTAAAAAAGTTCATCGGAAGGTACCAAGACCTTGTTGGTAAATATTCCGTATCAACTTCACAAATAATACATGATGGTCTTGAAGTATAGATTCTGCATACTGACGTTGTTTATCATCTTAACAACGTGTAATATTGTTCTTTCATTTGTCTTTGTTCTATTATTAATATTACTTTTACTGTTTGGTTTGTTTTCTGTGATATCCATTTGACGTGGCTAGGTACTTATACATCCCGTCAATGTGTTTGTATTATCTTTCATTTTTGCTGGTGTGTTTTGTATATGCGACTTTTTGTGTTTCTGTGGTTCTTATAACGTGACTCTGTACTTTAAAAGATCCCGTCATTATGTTATTGTTCTATTATTTGTCATTATGTTATTGTTCTATTAAAAATTTGAAAATACTTTGAACGACAAACGACAAATTTATTTTACTCCCGTAGTGGTATTAACCATATGTGGATTCTTAAAAATTCTAAAGAACTTCTGGACAATTTTAAATCTCGGTCTATTTCTGAAATTAATTCTAACATAACTTTTGATTTTTTAACCCTGTATACCAACATTCCCCATGTGAAATTATAAAATTGTTTTGAATAAACATTGAATGACAAAATTTCTTCTTATGTGACGTTTACATTTTCTGACGTCAGACACGCGAAGCAATGAATGTGGTTTTCAATTTGATAGATGCTTTTGTGCTTTTTTGTAAATAATTGTTTGTTTTGATATTGTAACACAGTGATGACTGCTGTACCCATATTTTGACAATTTTATTTATAATGTCTGTTTTGTTCACGCATCGTTGTAAATATAACGGAATTTGATAAGACTGTCGTACAAGTGAGAGGTTTAGCGCTATAAAACCAGGTTCAATCCACCATTTTCTACATTTGAAAATGCCAGTACCAAGTCAGGAATATGACAGTTGTTGTCCATTCGTTTGATGTGTTTTGTCATTTGATTTTGCCATGTGATTAGGGACTTTCCGATTGAATTTTCCTCGGAGTTCAGTATTTTTGTGATTTTACCTTATACCAAAGTGTCAAAAGAGAGAAAATTGGTTGATAAAAACACAGCCGGGAACACCAAGAAAGATAACAGACAAAGAAGTTATGGGAATTTATTGACCTTATAATATATTTCTGATAGTTTTCCCGACATATTCACATATTTGTTAACCTTGAAAAGGTGACGTATTCCAGCGGCACGTCCTATAACCTTGTATATATGAAGTAACCCCCCCCCCCCCCCGAGAGGAATCCTCATTTCTGGTTCAGTTATTAATATTTTATTAAAAAATAAGATGCAGGCAAGAATATTCATGAAAATCTGAAACCCTTTTCCTTCCCCCTCAACCCGCTTATTATATCTGCTACGTTATATCTGTCCACATAAAATATATAGGATTTGATGACACACTGATATAAATGAACAAATTTGTTTTGCTTTTATCAACTTGTAAACAAACAAAATGTCGACTATCCCAATAAACCAAATCAAACCCAGACCGTAGCACTTCATCTGTTCGAGGAAGAGGCAACTTTTTAATGCATCTGACAAAGAGAACAAATCCACGACCACGCTCACAACAAGAAAACAAGAAAAAAAGAAATTTACCAAGTTATTTTTAAGAAACAAAGATAACCTTTAAAATGATACAGTTTATTAAACGTAATCTTATGAACCAAAATGTCCCCTATTATATAAATATATTCTACCAGTAACCATAATAAAAGGAATTTCTCTTCAAATTTAAAATACTCAAAAAAGCCCATTGCCATGTAGCGTCGATGAAAAAAAAAAGTTGAAAGGTTTTGTAGTGTGAATTCATTTGCATCGCTTGCATTTCCTATCATGATTTCCTTGATAGAGGGCTGCTACTCACAAGGAAGCTATTAAACCAAGAGTTCCAAGTGGTGAAGTTGAAATCATCCCTTCGTAAATTTTACGGACGCCATCACGAGTTGGTTGACCGTTATGGAATATCTGTTTCACAGATGACGACAGATATGTTTCAATTGTAGTAACCACAATCCCGTCCTCTTTTCCTCGAACGTGACCTACATACTTATACTTATCACCGGGGTTGTACTTAAATGAACAACACGACGGGTGCCACATGTGGAGCAGGAGGTTTTGTGTACAGTTGTCTGTCTTTTGATCTTTTCCTATTTTTGCCATGGTGTTGTCAGTTTATTTTCGACTTATGAGTTTGAATGTCCCTTTGGGATCTTTCGCCTCTCTTTCAGAAGGTAACGATATGTGTAAATTCAGCCCGGGTTAATATTCAAAGTCGTTTAAAATAACTTAAACTATAAAAAATGTTATACTTTGTAAACATTCATATTTACCTTTATCTGATTCACTTTGTTCATCTTTGACAACATGATCATTGATGTTTTCCACAGGGTCATTTGTATCACTCACGTCCGATACATCGTCGTTACCGAGGTAACTTCCACATTTTGGTAAACCAGATGGTGGTTTAGGGATACTTGTGAAGGACTCGTTCAAGACCAGCGCCATTCCATTGTTAGAATGCATATCAATGTGGCAATGTAGAAACCAAATTCCAGGAATTGTAGCTGGAAACCTTACAACAACGTATCCTCCACTGGGTACAATTACAGTGTTTTTTAATACCGCCCCTTGTTGTACAATACCTGGGACATTTCCATTCAACCATGATGAATTGCTCCAAGTGGCACTGTTACACATACTCATTCCTGGTTTGGGTTTTCCCCTACAGTCGACATCATAGTTATCTTGAATTAATGCTCCTGTAATTTGATTAAATACGCCATATCCAACCTTCAATACCATGAAGGCATGCCCGTGCATATGTACCGGGTGGTCATCAACTCGTCCTTGACCCATATTAAGGAATGTCATCTGAATTGTGTCGCCCGAATTAATTGTCAAAGAGTTCATACATTCGCATAGTTTTTCCTCCCCACATTCCTGATCTGAACATTGATGTGTTAATTCGTCGGGTTGTGTAAGTGCGGAAACAACTGGTAGCTTAAACTGTCGTCCATTTATGGAAGCAGGTCCGTTTTCTCCATTATAGCCAGGAAGAGCAAAATTGAGAAAATACTCTTTAAATTTTCCTTTAACCGGAAGGGGAGTTGGAATATTAAGCACAGCACGGAGCTCGGTCAGTCGAGTACAGTTTACATTTGTATTTTCAGGGTAAAAGGGAAACGGGCAATTTACAACTATGCATTTGTTTGTAGACGTACAGTTGGACTTTGAGGATGTAGGTTCTGATAACGTGGCTCCTTCATACTGCAATATAGCCTCAGCCTTGGTCGTATATCTCCTCTCTAAAGTTTCAGCACGTATCATATATGTTTCTATTGGCTGGTTAGCTTCCAAAATAAAATTGAATCGTTCACCCGGAGCTATGACAAATGACTCTGCTACGACTGGTACAGTTTCAAAACCATCAGCCCCAACAATTGTTAAGTTATGTTGATCAACTGATACTCTCCATGGATAGAGAGCACCAGGTCCAATAACCCTAAATAAGTATTGTTTTCCTTTTGTAACTTTAAATGTTTCAAGCGGCGAACCGTTATGAGATGTATTTCTCCAGAATCGTCCACGTCCATTTATAAGCCCTGCATGAGTTCTATAGGGCGCGAATAGAGTCATGTCAAGTTGCATTGAAGGAAGTAGTTTCTTTCGATTTTTGTACACGCTTCCTTCGACATCGAACAAAATATCAGTATCTGAACCATATTCATGGTTCCATTCAAAAACTTGCATTATATGTTCTTCAAGCTGATTTTTATTTGATATTTTTGGCCTTATTATAAATGCACCAAATAAACCATTCAATCTTTGGTTTCCCATGTGTGAGTGGTACCAGAATGTTCCTGGTGGATTAGCTGTGAATTTATATTTAAAGGTTTGTCCCGGTGTTATTGGGCATTGTGTAATATAAGGTGGACCATCCATCCACGGAGTATCTTTCATGTCTACACCGTGCCAATGAATCGACACCGCTTCAGACAACTGATTGTTATGTACATTGATAATGACTGTTTGTCCCTCATATACTATTATTGGGGGACCAGGGAGGCTTCCGTTTGCGGCAACTACCAGTCTACCAGACGAGCCTTCCCATCCATCTGCTGTAATTATTTCATTCATGTTGACCGGAGAGGCGTTTGATGTGTCGGTGACATTATAAAGGAACAGATTGCCGTTATACGGATAGACAGGACCATCTGCTGACATCATTGCTATTTTATAATGTATGTTGAGGGATGTTTCACAGATCTTTGCATGAGGATCACATTCAAATGCAGTACTGAATGTTGCAAAGAGAAGAAATAGCAGTAGCTTCATGATGTCGATTCTGAAAAGTGCAAATTTAGAAAAAAAATGAATGGGAAATCACAGATAGAGGATCATTAAGTGCCAGTCTTTGTAAGAATCATGCAATTTAGAAGAATATCAAAACATGGCCGAAAAAAAAACCCGCCGACCTTACTATCCTATTTTAAAGTTACTCTCATCTCGAACGGTTAGAAATGCAAATTACGGAGCTAGCTCCCCTTAATTGTGAATTTCTAATGCATTTCAACCAAATTATATCTTGATTTATCAGATCAGGTTAGAGAAACGAATGTTATATTCATGCACAATTGAACATGTTGAACTTGAATTAATGCAAACTTCAGCGGGTTTTTGTTTGTCATGGTTTCACCACTGCCTGAATCTTAGGCAGATTGGCACTTAAAATATCATGTACTCCCTTAAATATGTGATGGTCTGTAAAATGTGCCCTCTGCTTTCCTTTTAATTATCTTAATATAATGAATTTATTCTTGAATTGATTTTACTCTGTTACCTATAGATTGAGAGTATAAAACGTTTAAATTTAAATTCTGGATAATTTAAGTTTTTATGGCAAGCTGAAGCCGTTGTGGAATTTATTCCCTATTTATTGATATCAAAAACTAATTTTTTAGTATTAAAAAATGTTACGATATTTTTTTTTATATTAAAAATTCGATTTATTAATATTACAAATTTTGTAATATTAAAAAATCATTTTTTTAATATTATAAATATTCAGTTGGATTTATTGATATTAATAAATGAATTTTTAATATTAAAAAATATGCTGATTTTTTTAATATTAAAAAATCAACATCAATATTACCTTAACGTTTAATATCAGGCAAAATAATCATGATCTGCCAAACGCTCTAACGATGAATATGAGACAAGTCGGTCAGGAGAAATTTGGACCGATCATGTTATTAATAAGTAAACTCGAACCATCTTATATCAACCCAGACAACTATTTAAAGAAATTTTTGACTATTAAGTGATTATTAACTATTAAATGTTAAATTTTACATAAAAGTATCAATTTAATGTTGCTGAATTTCCAAAAAAAAAAATAATAATTTAATCAATGTGAATCCAAATTTCTACTGATCTTTTTTTTAAATGAAACTTAATTTATTCCCCAAACACTAGTGAAGTGGATGCTGAATATGGTTTGTGATACACACCGTTATCATCATGATAACGCACAATTATACAAATAAAATTGATTAAAAAAGAGTTTTTTTTTAGATTGTTCTTATGTTGTGCTGTAATTCCACTGTCCATGGTTAGTGAGTTGAGCGCTCGCATACATGTTTAATGTTTAACCCCGCCATATTCTCGATGTGCCTGTCTAAGTCAGGAGCCTGTAGTTCAGTGGTTGTCGTTGGTTCATGTCTGTCATTTTTGTTTCGTGAATTATTTTGTTATTAATTATGCCGTTAGTTTTCTCAGTTACATTGTTTCATATTTTTTAAGTCGGGGCCTTTTATAGCCGACTATACGGTATGGATTTCTCTCATTGTTGATGGCCGTATGGTTGCCTATAATTGCTTGCATCCACTTTATTTGAACTTTGGTGAATAGTTGTCTCACATTTCCTAATATTTTATATTGCTATGAAAAAAATTAGATATGGACGTTATTTTTTTTTATAAGAGAAACAAGGTTACTTTAGGCATGGGACTAATAGTTTGTTTCCTTTTTGGTAATATAGCTCTTCAACTGTTTTAGTTTTTATACAGCCTTGGCTTTCAAATATTCTGCTTTGAGCGTTCCAGATGAAGGTGAATCAAGAAAAGCACTTCGGACGCATGAAATTTATAACGTGTTGTTTTCATCTTTTACAGCACTGGGTCGATACCTCTGCTGGCGGACTATCAGTCCCCAAGGGTATCATCAGCTCAGTAGTCAGTACTTCGGTACTGACATGGTTTATAACAAACCTTTCTAAAAATTATCCGTTGATAAATTTTGAAATTATTAGAAAGTAAGGTTTCAACTCCCTCAGGCAAAGTTGACTTAAGATGGATTTGGCTATTTTTTTTTTCTTTTAGGTCATTTTTGGTAAAATAGCTCTTCAACTGTTTCTGTTCTTATACAGCCTTGAGTTTCAAATACTCAGCTTAGAGCGTTCCTGATGAAGGTAAATCCAGAAAAGCGCTTCGGACGCATGAAATTTATAACCTGTTGTTTTCATTTTTTTTTTGCATAGTCCTGACTCCAGGTAATGGAAATCGTATTAAAATACTCTAAGCTGGCTCGGCCCTTTAACAGTGTGCAGTTTTTAACGCATGTTTCTAACGACGAGCGCGTGCTCTTCATCTTGGAAACGATGGCTTTGGGGGGTTTTCTTAAAAATAGTTTCGACGACATCGTTTATTCCGAATAAAATTGAGAATGGAAATGGAGAATATGTCAAAGAGACAACAACCCGACCAAAGAGCAGACAACAGCCGAAGACCACCAATGGGTCTTCAACGCAGCGAGGAAATCCTGCAAAAATGCAGCGGGGTTAAACATGTTTTGTGAGATCTCAACCCTCCCCCTATACCTCGGTAGAATAAAGAAACACATAGCAATACGCACAGTAAAACTCAGTTCAAAAGAAGTCCGAGTCCGATGTCAGAATAGGTAACAAAAGAAACTAAGCAAAATGACAATGATACATAAATGAACAAAGGACTACTAGCAGTTACTGACATGCCAGCTCCAGACCTCAATCAAACTGATTGAAAGATTATGTCTTCATCATATGAAAATCAAGTACAATCCCTCCCGTAAGGGGTTTAGTATCATACCATCATAAAATATATGAGAAGAACATAACCCGTATCATGCCAATAACTGGTTTTAGAATAAATGTGTTTATTTCCGTTGCAAAGACCATGTGAGTGAATCAATATTAATCCCAAAATATGCAATCATTAATGACTTGACAAAAGTATCGTAACTATATCCTTTCCGAATAAGTCTGTTTAAAGATTTGGATATCTTTTGCGGTGAATGCCGACATTTTTGTGCTTTGTAAAGAATATTATCATAAATATTGGATGTGAAATACCCGAACGTATAAGATGTCTGCATGTAGATTTATATTTACGAATGATGTCCTTGTACCAATGATAAAATTTAGTTAATGTTCTGACTAGTTTGTGATATCGAAAAACCCTGGTGTAATAATTTTTCAGTAATACAGAGATTTCTTTCGTTGAAATCAAATACGAAGTATATAAAATATTTTCCCACTACAAAATTTTGGTAATAATTAAAAATATTTTTCATTAAACAAAAATAGTTTTCAATATAACAATTTTCAAGTAAAATATTCCATACCTTACAGTCACGTACAACATTTTAATATTACACATTTACATTCTTTATCATATCATGGGCACGAATAAACACTTAAAAACTATGGAAAGCCAACGGGGTCAACATTCTTAATTCCTAAATTGTCAATTTGTAACTTGTAACTGTGTTTTTAAAAATTATTAATTGATAAATTGTCAATTTGCCACTTGTTACTTTGTAACTTAAAAATTCGTATATTGAAAATCTTGAAAATCTGTATTTGCAACTTTGAAATTCAACATTTGTAACTTTGAGGTTCTTTATTTGCGACTTTGTAGTTCATTAAATCTAACATTCGTATACTATTTCTTTTTTGCCATTCTTCATTCAACCACGTCACTTAAATACTCGCCATAGACACGCTGAAATTCGTATATTGATGTTTTGTAACTTGAAACATGTCGATTCGTTAAATGTCATCGTTGTATTATTTTAACGATCATTATGACGACAGATGGCGCTCAGTTTTCTTCTTCTGTGTATAAGCATCTTGTAAGTAGGAGCACCTCCATATGGAGTATATACCCTTAGTATTTTAAATCAATTATGTACAGCACATGCATATAAAAGAAAACAAATAGATAAATAACATTTTTGTTTTTATATGGCATATACACAGGAACTCGGTTTTATTTTGTTTTCTGAAGACGACATGTAGCGCTGCGTCCGAGAACGGAAACTACATCATTACTGGAAAACCCAGGTAACAAACGGTTTCTATTAATCCTAAAATGCGATTATTGAACCATTTGATTCTGACTGAGTGGGAAGGGCTGACAGATATATATATATATACATGCCTACTAAACTTTACTGGCCAAGAAGTAATGGTCGCCATTCGGTTTTTCGTCCTATAAAAATTTACAAAATGTGTTGCAGACAAAACTTCCCACAGGGTGTTCACCAAATATTCCCGATTCCCGATTCCCTCCCCTCAACTCCGGCTTCACTCCCCCTACTCCCGGGATCCCGCCCCTTGCCACCCCTCCTCACAGTTTGTCACCATTTTACAAATGTTGAATTTCAAAGTTGCAAATACAGATTTTCAATATACGAATTTTGAAATTACACAGTTACAAGTGGCAAATTGACAATTTACGAATTAAGAATTTTGACCCAGTTGGCTTTCCATATAAAACTACCACCATTTTCTAACCTGAAAGTTTTTTTTTAATTATTGCATTTGTTAGCGTAAAGAGGATATCTATCAACCTCTTTCATAACATAATTCGATGATTTCCGGAACTATTGTCCTATAACATATTACATCGGGGGCAATGTTTTCTATTCTGATATTTTCTTTTTACTAATTTTGTTATTTTGTTATTTTGTATTTTAACTATCAATGTGCCAACCGAGTTCCCATGTAAAAAAGAAAATATCAGCGTAAACACGTTAAAAATTGAATAAGAATGTGTTATATACTACCGAAACTCAAGCAACACATTTTACTAAATTAATTATTTGTTTTACACACACACACATAAAAAAACCCAAAAAACCTTTTTGTGTGTTTTTGCTGTGCATGCACTGATTTTGTTTCATTGATGTATACCCCATATCCTTTGTTTTTCTAATACTTCATTAAATTGCTGTTTTTCATCTTCAGTCATAAATGAAAATTGGTTAAATGTAAACCTGGACCTATTATTCAGACCTTGTTTA